CGGTCAGCTGGGGAAAATGGGGCCTATGGAGAAAAATCTCAAAGCAATTTTTCCCCATAGGGAACATCGCAATGCAATCGCAAAATCCGCATCGCTATGCAGATTCGCCGTTAAACAGGCCGCCCGTTAAGCGAGGCACCGCTGTAGTTGGAACTGTACTGAATGATCTCGTTAAGCGAGGCACCACTGTAGTTGGAACTGGACTGAATCATCCCATTCTATTTCAGCAACTGTTAAAACACCTGTTTCTACTAAATATTGGAGATAATTTGTATCTAGTTTTTTAGTCAGACTTAGGTTGTCCTAACCTAAATGTACACATTATAATTGAAAAGTATCCTTTTTCTTAGATGGGGTGGTGGTGCTATTAAGCACATTAAATGGAATTAAGCCCTACTACGTACAAAGTAGAAATAGCATAGGACCTTGTGTCTTGGAGGGAATAGTAACGTTTAGAGAAGATTCTGCCTTTCTTTTCCACTGGTTTTAAGGACAGACAAAACGCAGTGTTGTGCAATGACTTCTCAAAGCCCGAGTCCAAAGTAAATGGATCCAATGCTTTTGTTGTTGTTGTTGTTAGTAGGCTGAGATTTGAGGATTTTTAATTATTTCTCTCAAGGCGTAGGTAATAGATCTCTAGGCATCTGTGCACTACACATGCCCACTCCAGCACCTTGTAGGACACTCTGTCCCATTAGCCCTTTTCTTCCAAAATATTTTATTTAATTGGATAGGAATTCCCACCGGCCCTAGCCAACGTCATGAATTGCTAGGATGTCTCATCAGTTCTCTGGATGAGATAAATAACCCCCATCATTGATGTTATGTGTCTCATGACTTTCAGAAGGAAAGAGTTACCTCAGTCTGAGGTAAATAACTGCAGGGTGGTGACACGTGGCCCCTCTGCACAATATTGTAAAACAACTCTCTGCTACTACCACATGGCTCTTAGTAAATAAACCATATAGGGTTTCCTTGCTTCATTTTTAATGTGATCCTAGAAGCATGATCCACCTTATAAACAAAGTGAACACCCCTTTGTCTGTTTATTTTACTTGGGAAAAAGCTTCAGTTCTTGCCACATACTTGGTGGGGTCATGTGCCTTGTTTTTAAGATGGATTATGCTTCTGGGGATGCAGACCACCTGAAAAACAAAGTGTGTGTAAACTTCACTTCCCCGTGTCTTGTTTCCTGGGGGAAAGTGGACTTTACCCCCGCGGTCCTTCCAAAGCCCCTGCCGGTCAGCTGGGGGAAAATGGGGCCTATGGGGAAAAATCGCAAAGCAATTTTTCCCCATAGGGAACATCGCAATGCAATCGCAAAATCCGCATCGCTATGCAGATTCGCCGTTAAACAGGCCGCCCGTTAAGCGAGGCACCGCTGTAGTTGGAACTGTACTGAATGATCTCATTCTATTTCAGCAACTGTTAAAACACCTGTTTCTACTAAATATTGGAGATAATTTGTATCTAGTTTTTAGTCAGACTTAGGTTGTCCTAACCTAAATGTACACATTATAATTGAAAAGTATCCTTTTTCTTAGATGGGGTGATGGTGCTTTTAAGCACCTTAAATGGAATTAAGCCCTACTACGTACAAAGTAGAAATAGCATAGGGCCTTGTGTCTTGGAGGGAATAGTAACGTTTAGAGAAGATTCTGCCTTTCTTTTCCACTGGTTTTAAGGACAGACAAAACGCAGTGTTGTGCAATGACTTCTCAAAGCCCGAGTCCAAAGTAAATGGATCCAATGCTTTTGTTGTTGTTGTTGTTAGTAGGCTGAGATTTGAGGATTTTTAATTATTTCTCTCAAGGCGTAGGTAATAGATCTCTAGGCATCTGTGCACTACACATGCCCACTCCAGCACCTTGTAGGACACTCTGTCCCATTAGCCCTTTTCTTCCAAAATATTTTATTTAATTGGATAGGAATTCCCACCGGCCCTAGCCAACGTCATGAATTGCTAGGATGTCTCATCAGTTCTCTGGATGAGATAAGTAACCCCCATCATTGATGTTATGTGTCTCATGACTTTCAGAAGGAAAGAGTTACCTCAGTCTGAGGTAAATAACTGCAGGGTGGTGACACATGGCCCTCTCTGCACAATATTGTAAAACAACTCTCTGCTACTGCCACATGGCTCTTAGTAAATAAACCATATAGGGTTTCCTTGCTTCATTTTTAAGGTGATCCTAGAAGCATGATCCACCTTATAAACAAAGTGAACACCCCTTTGTCTGTTTACTTTACTTGGGAAAAAGCTTCAGTTCTTGCCACATACTTGATGGGATCATGTGCCTTGTTTTTAAGATGGATTATGCTTCTGGGGATACAGACCACCTGAAAAACAAAGTGTGTGTAAACTTCACTTCCCCGTGTCTTGTTTCCTGGGGGAAAGTGGACTTTACTCAATTTCCGCTGCAGCAGGCCATCAAAAAAGAGAGGAAAATAAGCTAGCAGAGCCCCCGCTTATATTGGGTTTAGATGTGGGTACATGTTAGAAAGCAGTTGCTAGATCCCTAACTGAAGAAGTTTAAACCACAGATGAAATTGTATACTTAATATTATTAACTGTCTTCTGGGTGCTATCTTAGTTTGACACTAGAAATTTATCATGGGTCACTATGAGGTATTGATAAAACTTATTGAAGACATGTGGTCACTACTGTTTATATGGATATCTGAAATTGATTGATGTTCCAGAAGTAATTACAGCACACTTTCTAATTTACAAAATAATTCTATCTAGATATTTACACAGAAGTATCTACCAAAAATCGTGAAGAAACTTGTTGTTTATCCTGCTTTTCATCTGTATTGTACTTGCTTTTGTGATTATGTTTAAATTTTTGATTTTTCTAGAGGTGACCAGGGTCCTTCAGATCTTCCAGTTAGTTTGTCTGTTCACTGTCGTGAAAATGATGCCCTTATCTTTGCCCTGTACCAGGATCATAAACTTAGGATGTGGTCTTACAAGGTGAGCGATAGATTACTATTAGTGTTGTCAATATTTATAGTTCATACAGCTAATGATATTCTCAAATGTCAACCGTTGGCAACATGCCACTTGATATATGGAAGCTACTGATTTTTTTTTTTCTCTGTAGCAATCTACCTCTTGGATGATGATCCAAGGGTCTGGGTAAATAAATAAATGTTCTTGCAAAAAATATGCCCAAATTTTGAAGTGTAATACCAGGGGCTAGAAAGGAGGGTGGACCTGATCTGCACAGAGAATTCCAGCTGTCAATTCATGGTAGTTTGTAAAGGCCCTTTCTTTTTCTTGATCTTCACTTGTGTTGCTGTGTGAGCAACACAGATTAACATGATAGAAGTGCACTTACGTTCCTGTTCTGAGCGCTAGAAACCATTGTAGAGACATGAACACCACTTTTCACTTCATCTTATTGCACAATGGAAGGTTTTGTTGGTTTCACTACTACTTAGCTACTATGCCTTTAACAACTAGTGTTGTTTCTTATGAACATGAATTTTATGTTCAGACCCATGGAATGGATTAAGCACCCATTTCCCATAGATGGAAGGGTTTCTATCAGCAGGAGGTTTTTATTGCAGCTTTCCCTCTGGCCCAGTAGGGAAGGAAATCTTCCAGAATTTTCCCCATCCCAATTCCCTGTGTATTCTGGAAGGCATCTGAGATCATTTGGGAGACTAGGCAAAGAGGTTGGTGAGGTAATACTGCTTTTATCTGTAACAGTAGTGATGATTTGTGGAGATTACCTGCTCCCCTGTTAAACCAGTGGGAATGTTCTGAGCAGCATTTGGGGGAGGCTGCTGCTTGTAGTATGTGGTTTACTTTTACTTTACTTTTATTTGATTTATAACCCGCCTTCCTAGACAAGGTCTACTTGGGGTGGCTTACATACATTAAAACATAACAAAACATCTTAAAACATTTAAAACATCAAAAAAATTTAACAATTATATAAATCTTTCCCAAGATGGAAAGTTTGAAGAGAAAGTAAAGGGGTTGTTTTCCCCCACTCATGTCCAAGTGCATTATGTCCAGGGATCAAATCACCATGAGCCCAAGAGAGGTACAGATTTCAGACTGCTCCAAAATTGCCTGTCCAGCACACTACTACCACTCCAAAAGGAGACCATTAAAAATGTTTCCCAAAATAGTAGAATGACCTGTGGGAGGAAACTGGATTAAAATATTACATTCTCCTCCCATTCAGTTTGCAGACCAGGCTTGCAAGTTTTAGAAAAAGGTTTTAGAAAAAAAAGGATAAACTCTAAAAGCATAAAAGGTGAATATAGATTACAACACATGAAAAGGATATCCACCAAATCTTAAATTACTCAATCCTCCCCTGAAGGACCCTCAACCCCCCTTTCTCTTCCTTCCAAGAGACATTGGTGAGGGACAAAGGGACACACTTAACCCATTTCCTGTATAGCCCTCATGGCTCCCAACACTCCTTTGAACTCCACAGGGAGTAAAAATGCAAGGGTAACAATAGCCAGCATCCCAGCTGTAAGCACCTCATTTAGCATAACCTGAGGGTGACCCTTTTGATTTAGTTTGTCACAGGGTGAGGAGGTGAGAAACATTGAGTTAGATGCCAGCTTACTTAGAAGTCCTGGGAAAGTCTTAATAAATCCTTTCCTAGGACTGTCTGTTTCAGGGGAATTACAGTCAATTTCCCCACATTGTTTAGAAAGTCCAAATAATCTTTGCACATGGCATACAAACTGTGGAAACCAATCTTGTATCTTTAACTCTGTTCCTTATGGAATTAGTGAGGGCTTGAAGCATCAATATATATTTTTTAAACTAAAAGTGCCCTCCCCAAAACTGGTGTCAATAGCAAGGATAGTGCCATTAAGTAAGAAAGAGGATGGGTGGGTGATCTTGGTTGGGCCAATTTTGGCTGGGAGCCCAAGGGCCACACACCTGTCCCCTGTTCCCAAAAGTCCAATGAAGATAGTAGCACTGCTTAATTGATTAATTAATTAATTAATTATTTGGTGGCGCTGTTCCTACATGCTTAATTAATTAATTAATTAATTAATTGGTGGCGCCGTTCCTGCATGGTTTCCTGTCTTACCTGCAGTGATTTCAATTTATATAGTAGTAAACTGTTTATATAGTAGTAAACTGTTTTTGCAGTGTGGTCCGTTCCGCTTTTTTCCATCTTAGGCGGATAGCCCAGCTGTGGCCCTACCTTGATGTGGGGTCTCTCACCACTCTGGTGCATGTGCTCGTAATCTCAAGATTAGACCACTGTAACGCGCTCTACGTGGGGCTACCTTTGAGGCTGCTGCGGAAGCTACAGGTGGTGCAGAATGCGGCGGCCAGA